AGGCCGAGCCAGGAGTGGGGGGGGGTACAGAAAAGAGGAGCGGGCTGTGTTGTTTGTTTTTAAACGAAGTGTGCGCATGCGCCGTTGGGTGCTTGTGCGCATCCTGTGGAGACTTAAAAAAACCTTTTAGTGACGGGACATGGGCGGGCGCCGGATGCCACGACCTGCCACCGGAAACGCGATCAGGCGCCTGCCCTTGCCCCGCGGATTCCGGAAACTAGTACCTCAGAGGTACTAGTTTTTTACCCCGCATCTTCGGCGGGAAGCCTCAGGTTCGCCACGGGAGCTCTACGCTTCCCAGATGTGGCGCTGTGATCGCGCCCGGAAAATCCGCCTGTCTTCCGTCTCTGTAGCGTGGCTAATGCTCCGTGTGATCGCAGCCTTAGTCTGTCTGAAGCAGTAGAAAAGAGCAAGAGCCCAGTAGTACCTTAAAGACTAACAAGATTTGTGGCAGGGGAGGAGCTTTCGTTCAGATACACTCCATTCTGTAGGACTAAATGCGGTGCCTTCCATGGAGACAGGTCAAAGTGGGTAGTTGTGTTAGTCTGTCTGTAGCAGTAGAAAAGAGCAAGAGTCCAGTAGCACCTTAAAGACTAACAAGATTTGTGGCAGGGTAGTAGCTTTCATGAGTCACACTGCTCACTTCTTCAGACACCAAGTCGGGTAGCCTTGTTTGTCCATCTGTAGCAGCAGAAAAGAGCAAGAGTCCGGGATCACCTTCAAGACTAACACCATTTGTGGCAGGGGATGATCTTTCGTCAGTCACCACTCACTTCTTCAGATACCTCTTCTAGCCTAGGGATTTAGCATTGTCCGATTCTTTTTCTTAGGAGGGCTCTTGTGCCTTCCACAGCTTCCTGCCCTGTGGAAATGAAACAGGCAAATCTTTTCTCATCATTCTGTGTCCGCCAAAATGAAATTACTGCAGGTCAGAAAGCAGTGGAAAGCAGGGGAGGAATGCCAGAGCAAAAGAAGAAGCTGGCAGCCCTAATGGAAATCTGATTATGCTTCAGACTGTATGGAAGTTATCCTCAAAAGTGTTTCCATCCCATACAGTTCAGTTAAAGTGCTTCTAAAAAATGTTAGACCCTGCAGTAACAATCATTTAAATATGCTGCACTGCCTCCTGGTGGTTGGACACATCTAAATTTCTTTAATCCCAGAAACTGAGATACATATAGGTAGGTGAAGAATTCAGCAATTTAATGTAATAATTTCCAAGAATTTTCTTCAGAGCACACGGATTATGCCTCTCACATAAATGAGACAAACCCGCATTCTCAATTCTTGTTCATTTTGATTAGAAAAATGCAGTGATTTTTATTTTATTTTTTTGCTTTAAAATGTGTATATTCTGTCACAGAAGTTTCGGTTTTATTTTATATTTATTTATCAAAAAATATTTGACCTGAAGGCGGAGGGACAGGCTTCATGTAACAATGTACCGAGAGTAGGGGACTTTTTGAATAAGTCCTACGCACAGTGAAAGGAAGCTTTGGTGTGATTTCTTTCCAGTTTTCAGGCTTCATTTGCAATGATGATGAGGAGAACTATATATTCTTAAAGCCAAGCTTTCATTGTCTGGATTTTGCTAAATCAGCAAATAGGAATGTAGCCTTGTGTGGCTGTAGCATTGCGTGAATGTAGCATTGGCAGAGTGAGATTTCTCCTCCTCCCCTTTTAGTGGTCTTCCAGGGGAAAGGGGAGTCAGTGAAAACAGGGAGAAGTGCAAAAACGGCATCACCTCAACTTTCCTGGAGCCCTCACAAAGACTGACAGGACCTTTCTTTGCATGTCTGCTCTCTTCCAGTCCTGTATGAGTAGGGTTGCCAAGTCAATTTTTCTTACTGGCGGGGGAGCCTTGCTGGGCTCTGGGAGCCGTCCGTCGATGTGCGCGCGCGCGCCGCCAGCACGTCACCAGAAGTGACGCACAACGTTGATCACGTTGAAGGCGTGGCCCCGATCGTCAGAGGAAAAACCATAGAATTTTCCCTCCGACGATCGGGGCCACGCCCCCAACGTGATTGACGTGGTTGCGTCACCTCTGGTGACGCAGCCACACTGCGCTTCGGGGAGCGGAGTTCCCCCCGGGGCCCGATTCCGTGGCGGCGAGAATCGGGCCTCCGAAGCGGGGGTTTACCCGCCACCCGCCCCCACTTGGCAGCCCTATGTATGAGTTAGTCCACACATACAAATGCATCACTGGATTTCTCCAAACTTTGTTACTCCACATTTGAAAACTTGGGAATGAATATGCATGGGCTTGGGGTGGAAATTCAGAGTGCCTTTTTCATTTGTGGTTGTATAGTACCTCCACACCAGTCCCCAACTACAATCTCAGTCTTCTCCAAATGCTGCACTGGGGAGGATTACAAGGAGAATCTGCAAAGAGGATTCCATTTCGGCATTTCCTCTTTACTGCTCTGAGTTGGGGAATGAAGAAGGGGCCCAAATGCAATTCCCAGCCTTCCCATAACAAACATGGCAGACTCCCTGTTGATGTGAGGTTGTAACTTCTGCCCTTTGTATCAATCCTGAAAAGAGCTACCAGGTTCTCCCTTTCTCCCTCTCAGCATTCTGCAGCCATGCAGATTGCCAGATCAGCTGGCACGAATGATTTAAATCCAAGGAAAGGAGTTCATTTAGCAGTGTCACTTCGTAACTGAGGACCTAACAACAAGTAGACGACTTCTACAGTAGAACAAAATCTGGACAAGTATCACGCCTGTAGTCAGAGGAATCCATATGACCCTTCCTCCTCAGTGTAACTAGAATCCATATCAAAGTCAATAATGGAATCTTGTAGAAATGATAATAAAACAATGTGACACACAATATCTTTTTACAGTGATCAAGGGGAAATTTGTGGGTGTCTCCAAGCAGCCCCTGAACATCTCCATCGGAGAGCCTATGTGGTTGGTGCGCTATGAGTTCAAAACCACAAAGGTAAGCACTTCGTCCTGCTGGGACACCCCCTCCCCCATGTAATTTGCTACAGATACTTTCAGTTAAGGTGTTGAGTGGGAGAAAAAGGTGGAAATTACACCTCACAGACAGTTTTCCTGCTAAAATTGCTACAGTGGCCACATGAAGCATCTAAATCCTCCTCCTCCATAGCTCCTTTCCCATTCTCCATGGATACAATCTTTGCTTTAAATGGGCTCTTTAAAAACTCCTCCCACGCTCCCTACCACTCTCTTCTTTTTTCATATATTTCTTCCCCCCCATATGCTACTAATTAAACAAACAGTGTTATTTTTCTTTATGTAACACACCTTTAAAATGAGATTAGCATTCACAACTGTGTCACCTGCCACCTGGCCATAACGGATAAAATCTCATGATTAATATGAGTAAAGGATGAGAAAGGGGGGAAAGTAATCATTTTGAAAGAACTGGAAATGTTTAAAAATTGCTGGGATTCAACGCTCTCCGATATTAATGGAAATCTGTTTGTATGGCTATCCTTGGTCTATCCTTATCTCTTCTGGTCCTTTATCTTCTTTTTAATCCTTCTTTTTTGTAGATTATATTGTTAAAATGAACCATTTTATATAGTATTTATAATTTTTTCCTGTGGATCTGAAAAGGGGACAGATGATGTTTCTATTATTAATAACACACACAAATAACATTTTAACTCCCCCTAGGACCTGTGCCGAATAAACACATTTCATAGTTTAAAAAATCACACAAACACCTCCCTGACTCTTGAAAACCAATGAGTCAGGAAAACGAGGGGTAGCCCAGTCTTATGTCTGGGGTGTTTTTAACGTTGAGAAGCATTTGAACTTGGAATGTTGCGCTTCTTTTCTTCCCTTTTCATTCTTGCTATTCAGAAGAGGGCATTCTAGATCCTTTGAAACAGACACTCCGGACAGAGCAGGACGTAGCGCCAGTTTCAAATAAGGACACATCCACCACGGGCTGGAGAATGCAGGAGGCGTCTTCCGCAGTCTCCGAAAACAGTCTCTGAAAACTGTCATCTTTTCTTCACCCCCTCCCCCGTCTCAATTAACACCACAACCCACGGCACACATAGACAGAGAGGGACTGAAATCAGGATTCACTGTCTCCACCCCATACCAAAAGCCTACCGTCCAGTAGAACAAATCCCGTAGAACAGGAGTCCCCAATGTGGTGCCCGTGCGCGCCAAGGTGCCTGTCAACACCTTTCTTGGGGCCTGCCAAGTGTTTTTAGAAAGTGGGTGGGGCCAGGTGGGGCTTTTGCCCAGTAAGAGTTCTGATTGGCTGTGCAGACTTCTTAAAACATTGCTTTGGTGGCAGCTGCCACCACAGCACAAGAGTCTTCACTTTGTGACTGAAGGTAAGCCATGGCAGCCATTTTGTGGCTGGCTCCGCATCCTGGAGCATCCATTTTATGGCTGCACCCACCACACTGTGTCAGAGTTCCAAAGGTGCCACAGGCTCAGAAAGGTTAGGAACTCCTGCAGTAGAACAAACAGTGGTAAACAAAATGATCCTCCTCTCCTGAAAATGCAGTGGCCTGAACTGGTCCTCTGATTCTCAGCAAACTTGACTCATGCATTAGAGGGGATTTGCTGCCACCTGGTGGCAACAGAGCAACAGTTGGCCGCTTAAGTGAATGGACGCTTAAGGCATCCTGGCATCACTTGTTGGGAGGAGGGGGCGTGTCTTGTTTCCTTTGGATGACTGAATGCAGAGAGGAAAAAGGCAAGCAGAGGGGGAATATATGAAAGCCAACTAACTGCTCAGCTCGCAAGAGCTCAACCCAGATCCACCTCCTCTAGTGCAAGGCAGAACTGGTCTGCTTGGGAAGATTCATTCCGTGCTGCAGAATTCAGTGTTTGCAAACCAGCTCTGCTACCTGCTTCAACGGGCAGGACAAACTTGAAAGAGAGAATTTCATCCCACTTCCACCTGGAGAAATGATTAAAATTTGAAGGTTCACACTACATTGATCTTTCCTATCTTGTTTATCTTCTGAAGTATCATCTGATGTAGATCTCGTAATATTCCGATTCTGGCTTGTTCGGCAAGTTTAAAGTAAAACTGCAGTCTGTGCTCTTCCTTTTTTGTTATTCAGGCTGCTCTCCTAAGCAAATTTACTAGGGACTAAGGTCCCGTCGGAGTCAGTGGGATTGATTTCTGCATAGACTGGCTCAGTATTGCCCTGTGCATATCTTGAGGCTTCATATTTTCCTGTTTCGGTTGTCTTCAAAGCTATTCTCCAATGCCTTTTGAAATATGTAGAAGCAATTGCGGTTTGAAGGATAATGATTTCTTGAGCAAGCTTAGGAAAGAACTGAGACTAGAACTCTGGTCTCCGAAAGGTGCACCCGTCACTGAATCCCATAGAGACAGCTGAAGATACCAACCGCTTCAGCTTGGAATGACCCAAGACTCTCATCTGAGTAAAAAAACCCAGCATGAAACTGGCACCTTTCCTGGCCATTGAAGTTCATTCTCTCCCCTCTGCAGGTGTACAAGGGTCCCAAAGAGATGCAAGATGTTTACTTCCTTAACACCCCTGCCATGGAAAGTGTCTGTGGATATGAACACAAGGCCCCTATGAAAGGAGAAGACCATGTCGTTGCAGGTAAGGAATCTCAGCTGTTGAGAGTGAGTACTTGTGGCAATTCAAATTTGTGTATCTTTCCCCCCCCCCGTGTTCCTAACCAAAAGAGGCATTGTGAGGTACCCAAAGAGGTGGGAGATGTGAAGACTGTTTTGGGCATTCAGTGAGGGAACAGCATTGTGTGCGTGCTCAGAGGGACTCCCCCACCAAGCATTACTTACGACCCCAGGTATTGGTGGGACGTATACAGAGCAGCTGTTTTACCCAGCATGGAGGCTTGCTAGTTGCCCTTTAAGGAAATGAACTGTCCCTTTATTAGCATTCAAATCTGCCTTTTCTTTCGACTTAACAAGCGATACAGCTTACAGCACATGGGGAGTCCATTCTAATAAAGCTCAAATACTGTTCTGACATGCCTTACTGGTATGATCTCACAATGATTCTGGAGCTCTTCAAGCAGAACACCTAGCTGGGCCTACCATAACTTGCAATGAACAGACTGATACAAGCAGCAGATTTGGCGGTTCTGATAAAGGGCAACCAACAACCAATTATCAACATGTATTATATTTGGGGCTCTTTTTTTTTTTTAAAGGTGCCAGAACTCTCAAGAGGGAAATGATGTTTTCAATCTGTCTACTGAAAACTCATGAACTTTTAAACATTTAAAAAAGAATTTTATCAAAGTGGTTCCAGAACTCTGTTCCTGTGTGTTTCCTAGGAAAAAAAAGAAGCCCTGATTATATTTATCAAAAGAGGAGGAGAGGAGAGAATTAAAGACCCTTAGGCTTTTGCTCCTTCGGTGCCATGACATCCTGGGCTTAGCCAGTTTGGTGTAGTGGTTAGGAGTGCGGACTCTAATCTGGGAGAACCAGGTTTGAGTCCCCACTCTTCCACATGCAGCTGGGTCAGTCACAAGTTCTTTCAGAGCTGTTCTCTCAAGGGCAGTTCTCTCAGCCCCACCTACCTCACAGGGTGTCTGTTGTGGGGAGGGGAAGGGAAAGGAGATCGTAGGCCGCTCTGAGACTCCTTCGGGTAGTGAAGGGCGGGGTATTAATCCAATCTTTCCTTCTCTTCTTCAGTACCAGTAACATCACACATTTTCTCCTTTCTCTTGTCTCTAACAGGCATGCTGGAAGATAACAGCGTGATGATTACATCTTGCTCCTTTATCCAGCCATGGTCTCAGCTGTCTCTTGCACAGAGGCAAGGCCTGAGCCAGACATACAGCAAGGGCTGCAACTGCACGGTAAGGGGCTGCCACTAGGTGACACTGGCGTCCACAGGCCTGGCAGCAGTATTTAGGGATCAAGAGAAGGCTGCAAAGTGGCCGGTTTTTGGCAAGCAACTTCTCACCTCCCCATCTTCCCTGCTGCTACTCGAATGGCCAGGAAGGGCAAAGGGGCGGGGGGAGCAGCACTGAGCAATGCTGTGATGTTATTTCCAGTCAAAAACCCAGAAGTGAGGTCCCTAAGACTCACGGGCAGGGGATGGGGGTGGGGGGACGGACTTACTGGGACTTTATCGGAACTTTATCAAAGCTGGCAACACTAGATCTAGTGCTTGCCAGGATCTTTGCAAGGGGGAGGACTCAGCAAGAAACATCTTCTGCTCACTGAAGACTCTTGTGAAGCTTGAAAACTGACATCATTCAACAGTGGCTGGAAATGGTCCACTTAAAAAAATATCCACCCCGAGACAGCTTAATCATTGGGACCAGTACAATTATTATGACATATACTGAGCAGAGGAAAAGAATCGGGGTACAAGGGTGAAGTCAGCTGGAAGCTGTAGTCGCCTGTTCTGTGCCAGTGGGGTGGTGGGATAGGGCTGCAGACTAAAGCAGGGCTGCTGGAAAGAGACTGACCGGGGAAAATGTCTTCCAGGAGGGCCCAGTAAGGGACACCTGTGCCACCTGGATGAGATGAGGGCCCTAATTCTCAAGAGGTCTTATTTTGAATGGGGCAAGGAGTGAAGGGGTGTCACCACCGGCTTCACCCACTGACTCACTGCCATGTGAGCCCAGACACAGAAGAGGGTCTTTTAACACCCTCCTCCTGGATGTGAACAGTAACAGAGGGGCTGGCAACACCCAGTCCTCATGCACTGCAGCTGCTCACTACCACTCCCCTCTTTCTTGAGACAAGAAGCTAAGGACGAGCAGCTCTGACATTGCTTCTCCTGCTGGTGGGAGCAGCAGCACAGAGGGACCTTTGCCTTAACTTCTGTGACTCAAGTTGGCAAAGGTGAATAGTAAGGGACGTGGGAAACCAAAAACATTGGGGACTGTGGGAGGCAGACGGGAATCCCTTGGGGGCAGATTGAGCCCCATAGCTGCTGGTTGCTTATCGCTAGATAAGCAACATCTAAGGGAATGGGTTGTACAGAGCAGCTGGAAACATCGTCTTTGCCTTGTCCTCATATCCCTGTTGTTCTCTCACCAACAGATACTGCCCTGCACCTCCTTGCCCTGCGCACTCACCTCCAGCTTTCAGTGCCTGTGGACAGAAGGGATAACGTCTGGGGTATGGGATGGCTCCCAGGCCAAACGCATGGCTTGCTTGCCTCGTAGTAAGTTATGCACCTGGGCATCACTCAGCCCCCAAGGGCGCACTGCCCCGAGGCAGTAACGTCTCCAAGGACTCTGATGGGGCTGGGGTCCTCCCAATTTATATGGCTCGCCTACCCTGCTCTCTGGGTCACTATTTTTAAATAAAACAACTTCCAGACCACTTACTCTACACCTGCATGTTCTTCCTTACTCTAAAGTTATGTTGGGTCGACAGCAATGGTCTCTAATGCAGAATACAATTCCTGAAAACCTAGGAAGTCCCAACAGTTTTTATTACATGTGAAGAAAAAAAACTGGGTTAATTTGCAGAGTTTATACAAAAAGTATAGGACAGAATTAGGGGCTCGGGAGCTCCAGTAGCTTGGGAGACAGTCTTCGTCATTCAGCGTCTCTTTCTTACCATGACCATTATCCTTTTCTCCGTATGGCTGTATCCACAAAGCAAAGATTCTACGTTTGGCATTCATTGCTACCACGAATGTAGAAGCATTTGCACTGGCAACAGAGTTTCCAGGGGGGGAGTTTTCTGCATGTACTCTCCAGCATCAGTTTGCTATTTTCCCTGAATTGTTTCACTTCCACACCACCGGAACACTATAAAGAAGCCCTTAAAAAGT